CGCTTTAGCCATGTTATCACGAGGGACCGGTCCCTGGAAGGAAGCTTTAGTCATGTTATCACGAGGGACCAGTCCCTGGAAGAAAGGACATCGTGCTGGGTGAAGTAGAAGGTGAGGAAAAAGAGGAAGACCCCCAGTGAGACAGACTGACACAGGTGCTGCAACCATGAGCCCCAGTCCTGAGGATGCCGCAGGGCCAGGCAGGGCTTCCTTCTGGGTAGCGACGCTCAGTACGAGTGAGTTGGAACCGACTCGATGGCTCCTAACAACAACAACATGTTGGTTCTGTTTTCAGTTTTTCGAGGCACTGCCAGACTGTTTCCATGGCAGCTGTACCATTTTGCATTCCCACCAGCAGTGGATAAGGGTTCCAGTTTCCGAAAATCCTCGCTAACATTGTTTGCTGTTTTGTTTGGGTTTTGATCTTTGCCATCCTAGTGGGCTTGTAATGGTTTCTCACTGTGGCTTTGATTTGCATCTCTCTGATGGCTAATGACACTGACCCTCTTTTTTCATGTGTCTTTGGTGAAATATGTATTCAAGTCCTTTTCTCATTTTATGATTGGGTTATTTGTGTTTTTGTTGTTGTCAAAGTTATATATATATTTCAGTTATTAGATTCTTGTCAGATATAAAATCCCCAGAGATGTTCTCCAAATCAGTAGCTTGTCTTTACACTTTCTTGATGAAGTCTTTGGATGAACAAGTTTTACAGTTTTTATGAGGTCCCATTTATCTATTTTGTCTTTTGCTGTTTATGCTTTTGTTATTGTATTAGACAATCCGTTGTTGAGAGCTAAGCCTGACAGCATTGCTCCTGCTTTTTCTTCTAAGAATGGTATGGTTTTAGTTGCACTTTAGGTTCTTAATCCATTTTGAATTGTTCCTGTGTATGGTGTGAGGCAGGGATCCTGTTTCATTTTTCTGCATGTGAAAATCCAATTTTCACAGCACCGTTTATTGAAAAGACCCCTCTTTTCCCATTGACTGGACTTAGCACCTTTGTTAAAAATCAGTTGACCATAGATTTGTCGATTTATTCCTCGACTCTCAGTTCTATTTCCATTGGTCTGTGGGGCCATTGTTATACCAGTACCAGTCTGTTTTGATTATTGTAGCTGTATAGTATGTTTTAAAATCAGGAAGTATGAGTCCTCATCTTTGTTCTTGTCTTTCAGCATTGCTTAGCTGTTTGGGGACTCTTTCCATTCCATGTAAAGTTGAAGATTGTTTTTTCTGTTTCTGTAAAGAAGGCTGTTGTAATTTTGGTTGGGATTACATTGAATGTATAGGTCACTTTGAATACGATTGACATCTTAACAATATTAAGTCTTCCAATCCATGAACATGGAACATCTTTCCATTTATTTAAGTCTTCTTTAATCTCTCTCAGCAGTGTCTTATAGTTTTCATTGTATAAATCCTTCTTGTCCCTGGTTAGATTTATTCCTCAGTATTCTATTCTCTTAAATGCTATTGTAAATGGAATTGTTTCCCTAATTTCCCTTTCACATTTCTCATTGCTGGTGTATTGAAACCTAACTGATTTTTGTTTGTTGACCTCGTACCCAGCAACTTTGCTAAATTCCTCTATCAGCTCTAGAAGTTTTCTTGTGAACTCTTTAGGATTTTCTCTATATAGGATCATATCATCTGCATAGAGATAATTTTATTTCTTCTTTTTCAACCTGGATACTTTATTTATTTTTCTTGTCTTATCTCTCTGGCTAGGATTTCTAATATAATATTGAACAGAAGTAGTGAGAGCAGGCATCCTTGTGTTATTCCTGATTTCAAGGGGAAAACTCTGTCCTTCTCCATTGAGTATAATGTTGGCTGTTGGTTTTTCATATATGCCCTGAATCACACTGAGGAATTTACTTTCTATTCTAATCTTCTTTAGGGTTTTCATCAAGAAAGGGTGTTGGATTTTATCAGATGCTTTTGCTGCATTCCTTTGTTCTGTTGATGTGGTTTTACTACGGTGATTGATTTTCTAATGTTGAACCACCCCTGGAATAAATCTTACTTGGTCATGGTGTTAAAAGAAGAAAAAGAAAGAAACAAAGAAACCAAACTCACTGCCATTGAGTCAATTCTGACTCACAGTGACCCCCGTTGGGTTTCTAAGGCTGTAAATCTTTACTGAAGTAGATTGGCCCATCTTCATCCCATAGAGCAGCTGGTGGGTTTGAACAGCTGACCTTCTGATTAGCAGCCACATGCCTTGTCCACTACACCACCAGAGCTCCTTTGGTCATGCTGTTTGACTCCTTTAATGTGCTGTTGAGTTCTGTGAGCTGGTGTTTTGTGTGAGGACTTTTCCATCTATATTCATAAGAGATACTAGCCCATGATTTTCTTCTCTTGTGGTGTCTTTGTCTGGTTTGGGTATCAGAGTTATATTTGCTTCATAGAATGAATTAGGGAATATTCCTTCCTTCTCTATAGTTTGGAAGAGTTCAACCAATACTGGTTTCAGCTCTTCTCTAAATGTGTGGTTGAATGCCCCAGTGAAGCCATCTGGTCCGGGAGTCTTCTGTTGTTGTTGGGAGGTTTTTGATCACTGACTGGAGACTTTCTATATTAAAAGGCCTATTTTTGACAGCTCAGAAAGGAGAGTGAGGATGGTTGCCTGACCTGCAGAATGGTGTCTATGTCCCTGAATTGCTTGTGTAGAAGGTGCTGTATTGGTGCATGTTTGGCTGTGTGTATTCTCAACAACAACAGAATAAAACACATGAAATTTAGAAGAGAGAAAAAGGTTTCCGTTTTTTAAAAAAAAAAAATCTATTTTTAGAAACTCTGACCCTGTGGTAGAGAGCCACCCCCACCCCCCAAAAAAAGATACAAACCAAACCGGTTGCCCTTGAACTGATGCTGACTCATGGTGACCCAGGAGGACAGGCTAGAACTGCTCTGTGAGGTTTCCAACGCTGCCATCTTACAGAAGAAGACGGCCTCTTCTTTTTCATGCAGAGCCACTGGGGGTTGGAACCACTAACCTTTTGGTTGGCAGCTAAACTTAACCCCTGCACCAGCAGGTCTCCCATGTTAGAGAACAGAGGTTATTTTTATCTGACTGGCCTGGTCCCGTGGACTCTGGGCTTTTGTGGAAGCAGTTGGTCCTGGCAGGCCACCTGCACAATGTCCTGTTGTTTTGGTGCTGGTCACATGTGGCCCTGAAATGCAAGTGGAACTACTGTGCTCGGGAGGGTGTGGCTTCAGGGCGCAGAACTATCCCCCCCGCTTCCTTTAGAGAACCAGGCTCCCCAGAGAGCGCAGACAGACGCCCTGGTACCTGCTCTGTCATCAGCCAGAGAGGAGCCCCATCATTGAAACAGCTGCCCTGGACCACCAGACTCCGCAGTCGAAAGTGCGGTTTCCGTGTTTGCCTTCACTTTGAAGGGGTTCTCCTCCCCCTCAATGTGGTGGCGCTGTGGTACCCGTCCTTGGGCCTAGGCATGGGGTCAGCGCCCTGATGCCCATGCCCGTTCTCTGACTCTGCTGTTTCTGTTACCATTTCAGGGCCCTGGATGCAGGGGTTTCTCTCGGGGGTGAAGGCTTGATCCCTTTCTATGGTCTGGTGGCTGGTGGCAAAGAAGGACCATTCTACAGGGTAACTGTCCTCAGAGCAGACCCTTCCCAGTAACATCTAGTTACGTTTGTCAAACAAACCTGCCCAGGTGGGACCTCTACCTTTTTCCCAAATCTGTCTCTCCCCACACCTTACTGAGCTCAAAACGGACTTTCTACAAAATGCCCTTGAAGTCTTAATGACTGTGTCAGACTTTAGCCAGAATGTGTGCTGTGTTTCGTTCTCTTTCCATGCAGGAGCTGGAAGACTATTTTTACTATTCTCAGCTCCGCAGTCAGGGCATCGACACAATGGAGACCAGAAAGGTGTCAGAACACATTTGCCTGTCGGAACTTCCTTCTGTCATGAGAGCCATCGGCTTTTACCCCTCCGAAGAGATGGTAGGTGGCATGAAAGCAGGAGTGGCAGTGGGGTGTGTTGTTTGTAACAGAGGACCTCTGGGAGCACTCCGTAGAGGTCGAGTAAGGCCCCCATGGGAGTCTCTCATAAACAGATCGGAAGGAGGGTCTGTGCATCTCAGAGGTACTCCTGAGAGACGGGCTTAGCATACAGGTGCGTGCAGTTCCCGAGAGACACACGCTTGACTGGACTTGGATGTTGGTGCGAGTGCGGGGCTTGAGAGCACAGGCTTTAGAACCGGAAGGACCAGGGTTGTGGTCCCAGCCCTGTCCCTCACTCCCTGGGACCAGCCTCACGGAGGTGAGGAGAGGAGGCCTGTGTGCGTGTGGCCCAGCGAGGGCGCAGCGTGAGAGCTCAGGAAACGGTGCTGGCGGTTACCAGCGTCGTTAGCCTCACTGCTGAGCTGGCATCAGCCTCACACATAGTAGCGGGGTGCCATTGGGAGCTGGGCTATGAGGCTCAGAAGAGGCAGTCATTCCTCATGAGGATGTCACAAAAACCCCAGCTGTGAGGAGCTCCAAACAGGGACAAGAGGCAACTCTGGGGAGAGTGTTCATCATAGAAACCGTTGGTAGAAATGTAAGTGACTGGCTTCACTTTCTGACTCCAAAGACGGATTGAACACCCACTTCTCACTTATGGACACAGTTAGGTTCCAAAGACTAAGTCATTACGTGGAAACAGGCATTGTGCAAAAATGGAGGATGGTGATGTCATTATGTAACTGCCAAACCACTGAGAATCATGGCCCTGCCAAGTTGGCATGTAATCTTAACCACTACAGCCAGCGTTCCTCCTCAGTTATGCCTCCCACCTCAGTTTTTATTATTGCCAGCTGTACGTCACTGACGCTCAAGAGTCGCACAGTAGATATTTTTATTATTTTTGTAATTGCAATGTGCTGGGTAATGGGATAGCCGATGCATAATAAGTAGGTATTGCTCTCATTATAGAAGGAAAACACACACTGTAATTAAGACGATAATTATTTATGATCCCACTACCCAAACTTAAGGGCCGTCAATACTTCCCTCCATTTTCCACGACTACGCACATGTTGTTATCAGTGGCACCGCCGGCCTCCAACTCCTGGTGACCCCATGTGTGTCCGGGTAGAACCGTGCCCCGTAGGGTTTGCGGTGCCTGGTGTCTGGAAGTGGTTCCCCAGGCCTGTCTTCCACGGGGCCTCTGGTGCACTTTGGCCTCCAGCCTTCTGGTTAGCAGCCATGTGTGTTAACTGTTTGTCCCACGGGGCATGCTGTCCTCATGTATAAAGTGGGGCTGGTAGGACCTACCCCGCAGTTACCGTGAAGATTAAAGGGCATTCTTTGTTGAGTCCAGCATGTGAGTGAGACATGTTGCAGTCTGATTGTCTAGCTCCTTGTTTCCTCGACTTGGGGTCTGTGATTAGAAAGGTCTCTTGGGAAAGCTTCTTCAACCTCATGGTCCTCCGTTCACAACACCCTTTTTGAAACCATGATTCTTATTTTCTTGACTCAGCCAGTAAAATAACTTCACACAAATGTCGGTGGTCACAGTCTTCTCATCTAGGGATCTTGGTTTTAAGCCCTGGGCTCGCTTAATGTGCCTTTCCTGCTGGGCTGCTTCATAAGTAGGAGAGTCCTGGGGTGTGACCCTTGCCTCCATCACCACCTGCCACCCGGAGCACTAAAGGAAGGGAGCTGGCCCCTCGCAACTGGTATCGTTTTGTTCCCTGTAGAAGTAAGATGTGCAAACGGTTAATGTGCTCAACTGCTAACTGAAAGGTTGGAGGTTCAAGGCCATCAGAGGCAGCTTGGAAGAAAGGCCTGGCAATCTACTTCTGAAAAACCAACCACTGGGGAAAAAAAAAACAAAACTATTTTTTGAAGTTAATTTATATTGTTGTTGTCGAGAATATACATTGGAGAACATGCACTGAGCTCTGGTGATACTGGAGTTAAGGCATCAGGCTGCTAACCAAAAAGTTGGCAGTTTGAATCCACTGGCTGCTCTGTGGGAGAAAGAGGAGGCAGTCTGCTTCTGTAAAGATGGACAGCCTTGGAAACTCTCTAGGGGTCACTGTGAGTTGGAATGGAGTCAATGGCAGTGGGTACATGTGCAGTCCAGTGACACATAAAAGGAAGACTAGTCATTGATGGCGCAGGACCAGGCAGTGTTTCGTTCTGTTGTAGGTAGCGTTGCTATGAGTCAGAACCAACTTGTCGGCACCTAACAGCAGTCATTGAAGGCTCCGACACATACATTGTTAGCGACGTATCATCAGAGATGAAAAAAAGGTGTCGAGGAAAAGGGTCACTCTGCAACAGATGCTGTAAAGTGGCATCGACAATTATTTATAAAGGTAAAAACAAAAAGAAACAAAAATGGTGGTGGGTGGGTTTTCCATTGGCTGTTACATAATTCCCCCTCAACACCCACTGCCGAAAAGGAGCTTTTCAATGCCTGAAGCAATGTCCTCATCAGCCATGTGGACCCCAGGGTTTCAGTCTACTTTTTAAAGAGTGCATTTACTGTCTGGAGACGTTTTCTAAAGCCCCTGGGATCCAGATGTGTCCCACATCAATGCACAAACTTTGCAAGTTGGTGAGTGAGTTTATGTGTGGAGCCTTGGGCAGAGCTTTCTGATCTTTTGTTCTCATGTCAGATTATGGCAGTTTCTAATAAAAATGTGTTCGGGGCTTTGCAACTTTTAAAAGCAGACTTTGCCATGGTTAATGAAGCACTTCCTATTAAGAAGTAGCTGTTGCCCTACCCCCGCCCCTCAAAGTTGCCTGAAGAAGTATGCCTGGCTAATGTATTTGAACACTTGAGTACACAAATTCAAAACAGCCCTCTGAAGACTATGTTATTTGTATTATTCTTACGTCATTGTAACTGCCTTGGAGATTTGAATCTAGTCAGCGTAGCAGGTGGGAGCTAAATTACACAAGAATATGACCCTCCCCAAAGAACTGCCCACACTCCCGCCCTCTGTGGCACGCTGCGCTCAGGTGCAGAGCCAGCCACTGGCAGAGTGGGCACGGCTGGCCATCCTCACCGCTGCTCTCACACATTGTCGTTTTTCTAATAATAGGCTCGCACTATGCGTGATGTCACAGGAGGGACCACTGGCTACAGCTGATGCCACCTCCAGCAAGGTTTCAGTCTGTGTTTACACTCCATGTTTTCCTTGGGGACCTTGGAATACCCTGTTGGGGCAGGGACCGCACGTCGCATGTGTTCCCTGGACACTTGTGGTTGGGTTTCTATCCAGCTGACAGAGCGTTTCCTGATTCTGGTGCGTTTTTGTCATCTCAGCCATTTAGTCCTGTACGTTGAAGGTGAATGCTGGCTGGGATGTGTGGGCTCAGCAGGTCCCCACGCAGTGGCAGACGTCGGTGGAATGAGAGAGTGAGTGAGTGATGGTACAGACCACATGTGACTGCAGAGAAGACGAGGAGAAGCCCGGCACCCTGGTTTGCTCTCGGAGTAGCTGGTGGTTGGTGCATGCAAGGTCTCTGACATTGTTTGGGATGTTTAGAGAGGAGGTGAACAACGCACTTGTAAATGTGCGTCTCTTTTGACCCAATTAGTGTTCTGCGATGGTGGGGTGTCCCTGGGTGGTGCAAACGATTAGGCAGTGCAACTAGTAACTGAAAAGTTAGTAGCACGGACCCACCCAGAGGTGCCTTGAAAGACCTGGTAATCTTCTCTTGGGAAATCGCTACTGAAAACTCTACGGAGAAGATATGGAACGTGGCCTAATTGCTTCCCTGAACAGCTGCCTCCTTTTGCCGTGAGACCAGAACTGGAGGGTGTTCCACTATCACTACTGAATGTTTTGATCAAAGATTCTATATAGTCTGATCAAAAGGGGGAAAATGCAGAACAGAATTTCATATTCTCATGGACTCCAGACTTTCTGGAGCCTTGGAAGCTGGATGAACACTTGGAACTATTGCCTTGAGATAACGTTGAAGCCTTAAGCTAAAAATATCCCCTGAAGTCCTCTTAAAAACCAAACAGTGGTCTAGCTTAACTAGTAAAACAGGTCTGCCCTGGGCATGATGCTCTTTTAAGAACTGTCCATATGGGGTCACACAGACCACAGCACCTGGAAAGATCAGATGGGAACCTTAGAGGCAGGGAGTTTATGATAATGGGGGAGGAACACCTCAGAGAAAAAGGCTGAGAGTGGAGGCCCACCTCTCAGGGCATCGTCAGTGGCACTGAACTGAACATGTAGAGACTGTTGAATTGGTGCATATTTTCCTGTGTATATTCTTCATGTTGTTGTTATTTGCTGGTGAGTTGGACCCGACTCATAGTGACCCCTCCTTGGATTGCCGAGGCAGCATCACTACGGAAGTAGATTGCCCAACCTTCCTTCCAAGGAGTGGCTGGTGGGTTTGAACTGCCAGCCTTCTGGTTAGCAGTCAAGTGCCTTAGGCACTGTGCCACCAGAGCTCCTATGTTCTCAATAGCAACAATATAATAAAATTGAAAAGAACAAAAACCCCACGGAGCCCGGTTCCACTTGGACACGTGAGTCTGAAAGGGCTCAGTGGCCACTGGAGTTTGACCTAGCAGGTCTCCTTTTCAGAGTACAGCCTACAGAAGAGCTCTCACAAGTATACAAAGATGCACACACGGAAGGGATGCTTGGTGTAGCGTAGGCATAATGTGTTGTAGCGTCCGTCAGCGGGAGTCGGGCTGAGCACCCACGCTGAGTCGCCACTGAAGAGTGAGGTAGACCTCGCTTTACCGAGTCCACAGGAACACGCAGGAGGTGTTGCCACAGGAAGAACAGCAGGTTGCAAAAAGAAAGGCACGTGTGTAGAGGACAGTGTTGTTGGTTCAGTGGTAACGTGCATGTTGGTATGTGCCTAGCACCTCTCTGCAAGAACACCGCCCAGGCCCAGTGCCGCAGCTCCCTGGGGCTGGGTTCGGGAGTGTTTTTTCTCTCTGCTTCAGGCACATAACCCACGTGTCAGCTGGG